GGTTGTGTGTGTGTGTGTGTTGGTTGGGTGTGTGTGTGTGTGTGTGTTGCCTGTTGCCTGTTGCGTGTTGCGTGTTGCGTGTTGCGTGTTGTGTGTTGCGTGTTGTGTGTTGTGTGTTGTGTGTTGTGTGTTGTGTGTTGTGTGTTGTGTGTCGTGTGTTGTGTGTTGTGTGTTGTGTGTTGTGTGTTGTGTGTTCTGTGTGTGTGTGTGTGTCTGTGTGTGTGTGTGTGCCTGTGTGCCTGTGTGCGTGTGTGTGTGCGCCTGTGTGTGTGTGTGTGTGCCTGTGTGTGTGTGTGTGTGTGCCTGTGTGTGTGTGTGTGCCTGCCTCTGTGTGTGTGTGTGTATGTATGTGTGTGTGTATGTCTGTCTGTCTGTGTGTCTTTGTGTTTGTTTGTTTGCTTGTTTATAACTCGGCGAGACCTGCATGCCAAGGTACTGACCTCTGACATTGGGCAATATGCTGTCGTCTAGGTTTTAGATGGTATCACAATGCCAACGTGCGAAAGTCACCATCGCACGCATCTCTAGCGATATGTCACTATGCAAGCAAGTTTCAAGTTGCCTCGACTACGCAGAACCTAGCAAACTGCATTTCTGTCAAGGCTCGTTGCCTGAAACTTGGCTTCACCAGATCGGGTGATGAGGCGACCTTGTGCAGAGCTCCAGTTTTGCAAAGAATTTGCTCGCACTCCTCGTTGCGGTCGGGCAGCGAAACACCAGCGTCTGGTCGCCCTCTACAGCATCACCAACCTCGGACAGGTTGCTTCTCAAACTCTGAAAACCACCGGCAGGCACGATGTCGATCACAAGGCCGAGTGGAGAACGTAGGTGAGCTCCACTGAGGCCGTGCGCCTTAGAGTCGATCACATCCGAATCTCAGCGAAGCATGGCAGGACACGGACAGCTCTCAGAAGCACTGATTCGTACTGCTTCTTGGACGTTTGATGACTGCACACTCAAGCATCTCCAAGAATCCGCGCGTTTAGACCTGTGATCGGTTCAAGAGCGGTCTGAATCGTGGAAACATGATGCACGTTCCAGATTGTGGACTTCAGACTCCATACCGCTGTCTCGGCAGCACGCGTCATGATGCTCTCGGCGAAAAGATACGTCCACAAGGGCTTGGAAAAGACACCTCTGGAATTCGAAAATGTTGCCCTGTCTCGCGTTGGCTGGGACATGAGAGCTGCCAAAGGCCGTTGTGGAGTTGATCTGGTTTTACAGCAAGGCGTTTGAGCGTTGCTAACCTGCGGATGCTATATCTTGGACTTGCGAGGTCATGTGGTAGGATTGTGCTGCGATTTGGCACCACCATGACCTCGCCACGTCAACAATACCCGATGTGCCGTGGCTCTTGGCAGATGAACAGCGCTTGTGCGCAGTCTGCTGCCTTTCATGGCATTTCTTGTTTTGTTGAGAGGATGGGCATGGGCATCGCTGAAAAAGAATTTAAGACTCGCCACGTTGGCACTGGCAAGTTTGGGGGTTCACTCTCTCATTCATCTTCGACCATAGCAGATCATGTTGACTGGGGACCCTGTATGAAGCCAAGAAGGGAAACAAAAACTAAGAGGATGTCATCGCATTTTTGCTGCTGAACTGGTATCTTTCGCGACAATTCAATGGGGGATCGCCTACAGCTTCGGGTTTAAGTTTTAAGGCTTCGGCTCAGGGGATGCATGGCAATCAATGCCGTTCACCAAACATGGGCAATGCAAGTCATCTTCCTGATAGACTTCACTTCTGCGAAAGCTTGCGGATTTGGTAAGCTACCTTGGTATGTAAATGTGTGCCGCAAACAAACGAGCACCTCCTCGTGGTCGTTTGTGCTCCGTCTGTGTCCAGATGCAGACTCGGCCCACGGCTGATTCTTCTTCGGGTCCTGGCGGCTACGGTGTCAGGGGGTGACACACAAGGCGGAAAAGCTTAAAGTGGACCGTCGACACGGGATTCATGCTCTTGCAAGATTTTCAGAAAAATCACACAATCCACGAATCAGAATGTATCACATCCCCCCTCCCTGACGCCATGATGGTGCAAAGTCAGCTCGACATTGTAGTATGTATGCGACGCATTCAGGCCATGCGCCTCATCTCCCCATTGGATCTTACGATTCTGGCTCAACTATGTCGCATGCCCATGCATTAGACATCGGTAAAATTGCAGTTAAGATACAAAAGGGCTTGGTGCCGGCAGATGAGCTCTCCCCCGCTGCTGTTACAGCCTGAGCCCCGAACTACCCGCTCTCAGGAAATTGCCAGCATCCCAGTGTGCGACTAGCATCACACACCGCAGATCCAGTGCCGTGTTCAGGTTGAACCAAATCATGTTAAGCCTCCGTCATCACCCTCGGTCTGATAGCCTAGTTTCAGACGGACTCAACTGACCTGCTTGTGCATCGGTGATATTGGGGAATGCTCCGCAAAAATGATCCAAGGCCTGCTCCAACATGTACCCGGGGACCACGACCGTCTAATACCGATTCCATGCCACAAATCTTTGGTACGGCGGAGGCTCGACGGTGAGCGCATGCCGTTGTAATGTTGATTGCTCAACTGATCCTAGCGCCTCTTGCATTGGATGCACGGAGCCACAGTCCATCGTGTGTCTCGTTGCGCACAAAGTGTGTTGGCAGAGGCAATCCTCCTTCTCTGTGCGGTAGACCAAATCTCGAAGACGTTCGCCTCGCAGTTGCCGAGCCTGGCACTAAAGAGGAAGTCGGATGCAGAAACACAGCACCCACACTGAACAGGGCCTGAACTCCAAGAACGAAGCTGACAGCGTCCATGAGGTTCGACCTGTGCTGCTCTCTCAACGAACGAAGCACAATGCGGAACAGTCCTCAGGTTTCAGCTTTCCAGCACCGTTTGGCCCAATGATGCAAGTGAACTTCCTGGCCAAATCACCGACGCGCACGTACGCACCACCGGCGAAAGGTCAAGAACACGACTTGCACGAGTCACAGTACTTGAGGACTGCAAATTACCTAGATTTCGATGCGCGAGTGTTCTTAAGTTTGTGTACAGAACTGCTCAGGTTTTCGACATCCCAGCGAGCTTGAAGGGGCCAACACGGACTCGATCGTGGTATGACCTCAGTCCGGCTCGTGACTCGTGGCACACGTACTCAATGCTTCTGAGGAGGCTGTGTGCACCAGACTAAGTAGGAGTAGGACATAGTAGGACAGCAAACTGAGTAATGGATCGAGAATCTGGCTTGAAGTTCTCGATGACCATCTCGTGGACCCGCCCCATATCTTCAAATTCCTTCAGCTGGTTGCCACCAATTCGAGCTATCTTGGATGTCAGTAAAGAATAGATGTGCCGGTCTGCTCCTTAGCTACTGCCTCGGTTGTGTTGCCACGCACGGACAGCTGATGATATGAGCATGTGTTGCTTCGATGTGTCCGCTATCTTATGACATGAAGCTCTCTGACTTCACATGAGCTCGTGCTGGCTACCTGTCTCGCGGCGGCGTGCTTCGCTGGCGTGATATCACAATGCCAAAACATTCGGGTCCACGGGGTCTTGATGGCCCCTGAGATCTTCAGAAATCAAACATGCCAAGCCTTGGGCCGCTATCTTCATTTCCCTGAAAATTCATAGTTATTGTAAGACAACGGGCCAGTGGCGTGAAGACGCTAAATGAAATTCGACTCTTGATAGCTTTCGGGAAGAGGTTCTGATGCGACCTTAAACTGTGGAAGCCCGAAGCGGAAGGCCTGGGAGCAGACGGCGTGCGAACATGCAAGACTTCTTGAGCCAAAAACTGCAAACACAGGTTTTGCGCCAAATGCCCTCAATCGGTATGACGGAACAGCATCAAGGAATATCGCACACCACATCACATCTTCACCGAATAATGCCCATCTGGTTTGAATCACACGCTTCAGACGTGATGCCAAGCGATTGCCCAAGTTTCTGAGGCAGGCGCATCGACCCGGGCACACCGTGTAAGCCTTTTGGGCTGCACGACATGGCCGCACTTCCACGAATATGGACAGGTATGAACACGTGGTTCATAAGTTTCGGTGAATTGCACACTGAATTACGTCATAGTGACGTAGTGGTTGCCAGTAGAA